TCTCTGTTCTGTTAAGGCCCTTCACTTACTGACCAAGGCTTATCCATGGTATCGAGGATAATCTGCTTAATTCACAGTTAATTTCATCCAGAACATACATCACAGAAACATCCAGAATAATGGTTGACCAAATATTTGGGTACCATGCCCAGATTCATCTTCACACTATCTTAACTTCATCAACAAAATGAGGATATTGAATGGTATAATAAATGTTAAGGCCTCTTCTTGTTGAAAAAAAATCCATATTTTTAGAATTTCAATTCTCATTCCTGCAGTATTTTATTTTTAGCAACAACAACAAAACCCCATGCTCTTCCCTTTGCCCTCTTTAGATGTCAGGGGTTTTGCTGTATGGGTAGCAAATCAAGTTTCCTGAAGTTGTCCTGTTGAAACCACATTGGAAACCACATATTTCATGTTTCTTCTAACTCCCTAAGGCTCTCAGAGATCTCTTGGCACCTTTTTCTCCCTAGAAGAAGCACTTAGACAGTAGGGAACAGAGTTGGCTGTACAATAATCAAACAGCCAGGAAGCCTTGTTGGAAGGGCCTAAAACAGCATGAAAATTTCAATATAATCAAAGCAAAGGGCTTAAGAATCATTAACATACACCTCCTAATGTTCCTGAGGCTTTGACTTTCAATGGATCATTGTTCACTCTTCTAGCCTGTTTTCTGTTCAGCCCTATTTCCCTCTGGCCTCCTGTTCCTTCCTTTCCTCCTGTTGGAAAATGGAATTTTCCAAACTTTTAGCATCTTATCCCTTGAGATGCTTACATAACTGTTTACTTTGGTGATTTAGTCCATTATTTCCTCTCTGGACAAGATGATTTTCCTAATCTTCTTTACTTCCTAGGCCTTCTGAACTCATAATTTGGATTCCTGTTGCCTTTTAAAGTAATTTATGGCAATCGTTTTTAATAGAATTTTGCATTTTTCTACCTTCTTAGCTACTTGTGAGAATTCATACCAAATAAAAATGTCATATGTCCTCGGGAAACTTACTTTTCTCTTCAGCTGAAGTTTACTAAGCTGAAAATGAACACGTTAGACTTTATGACTGATAAGTTGCCTTCTAGCTTCAAAGCTATTTGGTTGTGTTGGTAAAATGATGTTGAGGTTTAAGAAAGATTACAGAAACATTGAACACACACCTGAAATTTGGCAAAGGTCTTCTGTCACTCTTTCCTAGTTGTGTGTCTTTTTTTTTTTTTTTAAGATTTTATTTATTTATTTGACAGACAGAGATCACAAGCAGGCAGAGAGGCAGGCAGAGAGAGAGAGAGGAAGAAGCAGGCTCTCTGCTGAGCAGAGAGCCTGATGCGGGGCTCGATCCCAGGACCCTGAGATCATGACCCGAGCCAAAGGCAGAGGCTTCAACCCACCAAGCCACCCAGGCGCCCAGTTGTGTGTCTTATTTTTAACATTAATATCATCCAATATTATCAGACTCAAATGTTAGTTTTCCTTTTAAGATTTTATTTATTTTTTGAGAGAGATATTTGAGAGAGAGAGAGGGAAAGCACACAAGCAAGGGGAGGCACAGAGGGAGAGGGAGAAGCAGAATCCCTGCTGAGCAGGGAGCCTGATGCAGGGCTCAGTCCCAGAACCCCAAGGTCATGACCTGAGCTGAAGGCACATGCTTAACCAACTGAGCCACCCAGGTGCCCCGACCCACAGGTTTTTTTATTCTACCTAGTGGCATTGTTTCTTTTTCACTTTCTTGAGACTTTTTGTTTTTCTTCTTCACATTCTGGGCTACAGTTTTCTTGTTTATAGTTTTACAGTGTCTTTTTCCTGTATGGGAATCAGGTGTAAAACATTCTTTGTGAAGGATCCCAAAAGCCACTTAATGATATGTGAGACTCCAAGAACACTAATTCATTAGCCCACATTCTGACCAGTGGTCTTTGAAGGGGGTGTCAATGCCAGCATGCTTACAAGACATCATGGGGATGCAGAAAAAATACCCATACTAATTATGACATAGTCATAATACAGTTATTATTTAATCTCATCCTTTAAAATTATCTTTATGTGCTTCAGAATGCATAAGTTAATATAATAGAAAATATATGGAGAATATCTGTAGCCATATCTATTTCTTCTTCTTTGGGATGTGTGATTAAAGAGTTTGGAGGCCAAACACTGTCCTAGAAAAATTTTAATCTCATAGTAACATATAAATGTAATATAGTCTCATATTAATATAAAACCTAATAACTCATAGACCTTGTAAACACATTATTGACTATTACTCTTATTAATTTGCTCCTTTGTGTGTAAAATCATTTGGGTCTTATGTTAGCTAGAGTTCCTTGCTTGTGAGCAACAGAAACTAACTCTGACTAACTGAGGCAAGGATACTGAAGACAACACCAACAGGCTTACAAAGTCAAGGGAGAAGAAGCTGGGCTATCTGGCCTCATAGGAAGGGCCATGGCAGCCCTTGTCCTCAAGGGCAGCGTCACTTGGACCTTCGAGCCCTGCCATTGGATGACTCTGCTCTAGTTAGCTCCTCCCTGAGAGTCCACTCCACTCAAGATTCACGTTTCCAAGAAAAAGAACCTGAATGGACTACCTTGGGTCACATATCACACCCTAAAAAACCTTTTGCTAGTATCTTTCCACATGTATTTATTTCCTGTGGAGTGTGGCAGGAAGGTCCTTTCCAAACATCCATGGTTATAAATTCAGACACCAGGACATGACTACTTGCTGAGAAATGTCAACCCTAGTGTTGTAATCTTTTCTTCATATTCAAAAAGAGAATAAATATATCACATGATTACTCTAAAAGGTCATTTTCCTGCCTGGAGCAAAACTTTTGATTTTTTTTTTATTACTTGGTTGTGGGTTTTTTTTTTTTTTCCTTTCCCTTTACATTTCAGTTAAATGACATTTGAATTTTTAAACTTTCTTTAAGAAATTGAGACAAAAATGTGCAACAGGATCAAGTAAAATGTAAATTTAGATAGATAGATACCTTAGAATAAATCTCAGTAAGTTTAGAATCAGTTTTAAATTGAACTGATTTTAACATCCATTTGCGGGGCACCCAGGGGGCTCAGTTGGTTAAGCATCTGACTTCGGCTCTGGTCCTGTTCTCAGGGTCCCGGGATCAGACTACATCTGGCTCCATGCTCAGCAGGGCGTCTGCTTGTCCCTTTCACTCTGCCCCTCGCACTGCTCATGCTCTCTCTTTCTCTCTCTCTCTCAAATAAATAAAATCTCAAAAAAAAAAAAAAAATCCATGTGCTTTTCCCACTTATGTAAATAAATTACAATATTCTGATGCTCTCATAAAATCTGAGCTTAATCACTTCTTTTAATTTATAGAAAAAGACAATATGAAATGTTTAGATTTAAATTTAATTTTTCTAAAGGTTAAAATGCCTGGAGTAGAGATGGAGGTAGGGGGTATATTCTCGAGAAATGTCCTGTTAAGCAATGATGCTCTTTCTTCAGGTAAACTGTTAAAAAATATTTAAGAGACAATCTTCATGCACAGATTAGATCATCTCCCTTGAATTTGAAAAATTATTTAGTGAGGATATTTTTTTCTGTCAAAAGATTAACTTTTTCAAAGACAGAATTTGAAGGCCATAGATGAAGATTCTGTTTGGAGCAGGATTTATACTATACATCAGTGGAATAGGTAGGTTAGGTCATTGTGAGATGCAGTTAATATGGCACTGAAACATACTGCCTACCCCTACACCCAAGTATACTCCACCAATATTTAAACGTATTTCCACCATCAAAATACCCTTTTGGCTGAATATGGCCTTTGAGTTTCATGATAAATGTCAAATGCCAACTTGGAAGAATCAAATAAATCCAAATTTAAATCTTAATTAATGCCTTTGTCTTACTTGGCTTGTAAGATAAATAGACAAAGCCTAAAATAAATGTGACAACCTTGGAGGCACTTTTCAAAACAGGGAAATCAGGGGATGCCTGGGTTACTTAGTCTGTTAAGTGTGCGACTCTTGGTTTCAGCTCAGGTCATGATCTCAGGGTTGTGAGATCAAGTCCTGCATTGGGTTCTAGGCTCAGCATGGAATCTGCTTGAGACTCTCTCTCTGCCTCTCCCCCTTCTTGCTCTCACTCTTTCTGTTTCTAAAATAAATAAAATCTTCAAAACAGGGAAATCAGGGAAGGGAAGCCCATGGTTTGGGTGTAACCCATCAAGTTCAGAGCTGTTCAAGGGAAGAGCACTGGAAGGCCAGAGGTAACCAGGCCAGGCCTGCTGTCTGCATGAGGAGCAGGAATGTGAAATGTAAGAAGAGACTTTACTCCTAATCTTCTTAAAGGTCAATTGTGATTATATCTAACCAGGTGTAATTAGTGGGATGACATGATTGAAATTTTTGGTTTTACCTCTTCATTGTAGTCCTTCCTTCTATAATCTCTCTAAAGGAATAGAACTGATTGTATTTCCATTATTGGATTAAATAGATACCGTTAATTTAAAACTTCTAGACAGGTGTGATTTTTTTCCAATGTTTATCATGTGATGGAAAATAATTTTATTCACATTCACAAATCTACTATATGCATACCACCATAGAAAAAGTTTCAAACTCACCTGAATTTTGTAGTAGGCAAAGGGAGGAGGAGAGAGGGGAGGAATCTTATCATTCAAATAACAATTACATGCCAAACTACATAATATAGACAGGTAGTTAAAAATATAGGAGGTCAAAAAATAAAGGTTAGTATGATCAGGACCAGCTGTCAGCATAGAAGAATAAAACTTGACATGGGGCTTTAATGATAGAGATGTTGGATATGAGAAACAGAAAATTAGAGGACCATTCTGTATTTTGGCGATGAGGAAATCCTGACTTAGAATACTTTAATATGAAGTTCAAGTCCCATGGCAAATTTAAAGGAACAGAATTTTAATGGTAGTTTGTAAGGAAATATACTGCCGTTGGAGTCTCTTTGCCTGAGTAATTAATGCAAGAATTGAAGTCTTGTGTCTTTCTTTCAGGTGTGTCTGCACAGCTCACCAGCACTCGGCACCGTCGGAACACCTCCGTAGGAACGCCATTTTGGATGGCTCCTGAGGTCAGATAGTTTTGAGAGGGACAGATGTAATATTTGATCTTTTCTGACCTGCCTTTCCATGCATACTCTATCTCCATATGTGTTTTGGAAGGTACTAGAAGAAAACGTCAGTTATTTTTATGTAAGGTTTTTGCGTGTGTGAGAAGGAACATGGGAGGTGCTCAGTAAATGGACTATGAATGAACATGAATAAATGAAGGAGTGAATGAATGAATCAGATGAGGTAAAGAGAAACTGCTTGCAGCCTTAATTTTTTAAATTAAATTTGATTTTAATTGCTTAACATGCATCCGTATTATTAATCTTATAGTAGAAATATTAGGAAAATCCCTAGCCTTGAAGATCAGATTTGTGGTGACTAACCTGTATCACAGGTTCCTACATTGGGCCTGTCTTGCTTGGGGGCAACATTGAACTTAAATAGACTCTTTTCAAACCGTTACCTTTGGGAAGTTGTGGATGAACTGCCAAAATTCCTGAGGGAAAAAGTTTTCTAGAGTCCCATCTTCCCTCCACAGCCACTCTTAATGCCTTTAATCTTTTTAATGATGTTTATCCATAAAGAACACTTATGTTTGAAAGCTCTCTCTTCAACCTCTGGGAAATGTTCTGCTATTTATTTACCATTTTCCAGGGAGTCAAGGGCGGGAAGTGGTTCAAATGCTACATTAATATTGCAAAGCCTTAGAATGAAATGTGTTTGGGGATTAAACCCTTGTGTGCTGTTTCTATTTTAATATTAATTCAATTAGTACTTGCAAAAAAGTGAAATGTAAATGGAACATAAAACATGAGAAAGGATACATTATCTTTAGAATTTTAAAAATTCCAGTGAATTCAAAAGCTTTTTTTTAAGATTTTGTTTATTTGACACAGAGAGAGAGAGAGAGCAGCACACACAGGGGAATGGCAGGCAGAGGGAGAGAGAGAAGCAGACTCCTCACTGAGCAGGGAGCCCTGTACAGGGCTCAATCCCGGGCGGGACCCTGAGATCATGACCTGAGCCAAATGAAGGCAGACACTTAACCAACTGAGCCAGCCAGGTACCCTGGATTCAAAACAGGATGTACACCTTGGAATAGAAATAGGAAGTGTGGTCATATAGAGAAAACCAAAATTGAGTAAGAGAATGTTAAGCGAGAGTTTCTTCAGTTTGTTCTGATATATTAGTAGTATTTTAAAAGCTTATGAAAAAAATTTTAAAATTGGAAATTAATAAAATATAGGGTTAATATTAAACAGTGCAGCTTATTTATGTATTTTAGTAATATAGAAAAACAATAATATAAATACTATACTATGTAATAATTATGTTATTACTTGATTAATATTAAATAGTTAATAACCTAGCTTTGTATTTTCCATGTTATAGTAACAAAGCCATTGTTAGGTATTTAAGTTTTCTTCTAGTTAAAAAAGCAATTTTGATTAGTGGATCTTGGAACCACTGTCTAAGTAAGAGAAAATATTTTGATCGATCTAAAATTTAATTACCAGAGTATTAAATGAGTTAATAATTAAAATTGACACTTCTTAATATGCAATTACGGGACTGTTGTTTTACTGATAAGTCATTATTTGTTACTAGTAAAACTCCAATAGCACAAACACAGTTTGAAAGTTCTTTTCTGCTTAACCAGTGGTTGTTACCTAAAAGAGAAAGGTTCACTGTGGGGTTTTTTTTAAGATTTTATTTATTTATTTGACAGAGAGAGATCACAAGTAGGCAGAGGGGCAGGCAGAGAGAGAGGGGGGAAGCAGGCTCCCTGCTGAGTAGACAGCCCAATGCAGGGACCCTGAGATCATGACCTGAGCCGAAAACAGAGGCTTTAACCCACTGAGCCACCCAAGTGCCCTCACTGTGATCTTTTCAAGCTGTCGTGTAAATATGTGCATGTTCCAGATTTTATGCATATTGTACTTATTTTTCTGTAATAAACATTTCCCAAATTATGAATGATTGGCAGTATTTCAATAAATTTCCACTTACCTAGAATTGTTGATGTATATATATTTTGAATAACCAGCTCTCTAACTCGTGAAGTCATGGGTTATACACCAGCTCTATGTTATTAATGACCAATCTCATAGAATTAGAAAGCAGCAAAGTAAATAAAATTTAATATATTCTCCATAACTAATGGCATAGAATTATTTCAGTGTTTTTAGGGCCTCAGAGGCAATATTGTTCATTTATCAGTTGAACAGTGGAATTCTCTACTGACATTTTTAAATTAAATTCTAGTTCAGAGGAAGCATTTGCTGGTTACATAAAGCCATCCTTCCCAGACTGGGGTCCGTGTGTGTTTCAGGATGAAAGAGACTAGGGAAAGAGTAACCGTGGTAGGTGACCCTTCATTTTTACAAGCCACGATACTTTGCCAAGAAAAAGGGGATAGTATTTACAGTAACCCTAGGAAAGTATAAGCTAAGGATTTTTTAGGCATATTGGAGCAAAAATTCACCCAAGCCTTTGGTGAGCTATTCCTAGACCACATATATGATGTCAAAAAATAACAACACAACAACAAAAAAAGTTGGTGGGGCAAAATACATTTTTATACTAAGGAAGACCAAGAGACCCAAAAGAAGAGAAAATTCATCTGAATGTGTTTTTTATTTTAAACAGCTTTTTAGAGATATAATTCATCTACCATAGAATTAACTCATTTGATATGTACAGTTTAATGATTGTTAACTGTATGTTCACAGGGTTGTGCAACCATCATCACAGTCTAATTTTAGAGCATTTTCTTTCCCCCTAAAAGAAACCCCTTACTCATTAGCAGTCACTCCTCATTTCCTCCCAAGCTGTCCTATGCTACACAACCACTAATGTGCTTTTTGTCTATGGAATTCCCTCTTCTGGACGTGTCATGTGAATGGAATCATAACAGTATGTGGCCTTTGTGTCTGGCTTCTTTCTCTTCGTGTTTACACATGTTGTAGCATACATCAATGGTCCGTTCCTTTTGATGGCTGAATAATATTCCATTGTATGTATGCACAGTATTTTGTTTACCCACCACCAGTTGATGGACATTTGGCTTGTTTTCACTTTGGGGCTATTAGGACTAAAACTTGTAAATATTTGTCACATGAATTTTTAATATAAAACTTGGGACTTTCGTGCTTACTTTTGCTACAGTGTTTGCTAAAATCACAAACTTCACCCTGGTTTGTTTTTGGTTTTGTTTTTATTTATTTATTTATTTACTTATTTTGCATTTTCTGCTAGGTGATTGCATGTGAACAGCAATTGGATACCACTTATGATGCCAGGTGTGACACCTGGTCCCTGGGGATCACGGCCATCGAGCTAGGGGATGGAGAGCCTCCGCTAGCCAACCTGCATCCCATGAGAGCGCTCTTCAAAATTCCAAGGTCAGAGGACTAACATGGGGGGTACGGTGTCTGTAGCCCATCTTTCTCCCTTCAGCTGGTGCTCATCAGGGAAATAGTCAATGTATTTTAGCAAAGTGGGAGCACAGTGGCCTGGGATATCTTCTGCCTCTTCTGAAACACTGTATGTACTCAGTGGTTTCATTTCCCTGATCTAAGTAAGAGCTTTCTCTAGGTACTTGGTGTGTCTTCCTTTTGCAGGGATTTGAGCTCTGAGAGCAGCAGTTCCTCCCACTCTTTATCTACTCCCAAATTTGTCAGTAAAGCCCGGGGCCACCATAGGTGCCACAGTGATTGACTTTGCTTTGCTCTATCAATCCAGTGATTTTTTTTTTTTTTTTACTACTTGCTAAGACTTCTCTTTGGAGGTTTAAAATGATATCATTAATAAAATGATACACAAAATTTACTGATACAATAGCAAAGACTTTAAATATGTTAATATTTGAATGTATTCACATAAAACAGTAAACTTAGAATAATCCCTTTGGAGTCATGAAAGCACTTTCCTCTCTGTGTAGACCTTTCCCTTCGGTGGATATATTGATAAACGTTCCTGTGTCTATCCTATTATTAATTAAATATTATTTTATATATGTTTTGGTTAGTTCCTAGACATTTCAGAACACTGACTTGAAAAGACTGCCTATTTTTATGATATAGGTGTTCCCTTTTGAGGACTGTCTTAAAGATTATGCCTGGTACTGTAGTCCCAGTAGAATGCACACCCAGGGCAGTGGTAAGGTGATAAGTTACATACTTTTTTCAAACAAATTTTGTCATCTTAATGCCTATAGCACTTGGGACCATATATTCAAAGCCCTGGGGAACAGTTCTCCAGTTCTAAAGAAATAATGCCAATATGTTCCATTCATGTTGAAAGGGGTCTATTTGGAATATTTGGCACGTATTTAAATCAGTAGAAGACCAAAGATTTTTGAATGTTATTTTTCACTTTATCTTTGAACTTCCTTTCTGATACCTATGTTCTAAATTATCATGACTTTATCATCCTTTACATTAACAATTTCTAAGTAAATCTCAGGTCTAGTTATTTGTAAAATATGCTGTTTGGTTGGTAAGTGGGGAAATAAGATTACAAAAAAGAATAGAAAACCTATGCCAAGTCTAAGACATTTCATTAAATATGAGGAAAACAGAAAAAATATATACATTTCCTAACTCTTAGTGTTGGCATGAAGCACTACACTTCCTGAGCCCTTTTATTTATGGTTTAAACTACCAGAGTTAGCTGGATGCAGTGATTCTTGGTGATAACCCTGGATGGACAAGGGATGACAACACTGATGTTTCGTGTACCTGAGAGCAAGGTGCTTCTGGAAATTGCATCCTCTTACTTACTTCCTCCTACTTCTGCCACCATTATATCTCTAGCATGAAGGTCTTAGAACATGAGCTATAGAAATAATGAGGAAAAAAAAAATAAGGGCTCTGAAAAGCTACCCCGTTCTGAATGTTCTAAAATCATCAAAACTTTGTTGTACTCCAAGCAAACCAATAAATCTTGGGAGATTTTCAGGAGGACAAGAAGCAAAGCAAGATTCTTGGGGAAGAGAATGACTTCTTTTAATGTGCAAATCAGCAATCTTCGGATAGTCCTAAGACTTGTACAATGAGCTCGAGGCATGATCTAGGGTAGATGAGTGGCTGCACTTTTCTTTAATGAGCCTGTATAAACTGTACACTAATTTCATTATAAGCTATTTAAGGAGTAATGCAGAACTGAAGACAAAGTGTTTCCATCCCACTAATGAAAACAAAGAGCTGTTAGGATTAGTGGAAAGCAGTATTTCAGCGAATTCAGCCATCATGGTTGATCGGTGCTGCTTGATGACGGAGTTAGATCAGCCTCATTTTCAAGGGATGTGCCTTTGTATTCATGAACATGCCAAAGAAGAACAAGATTTGTTTGGCCTTTAACTAAAGGCAACTAATAAAATATTTTAAGTGGCATTCAGAGCTTTCCAGCTAATCATATTTTCCAGTTCCTTACTTCCATAACCTTGTTTCCAGCAGCAACAGAACAACTCCTACTAAAGGCATTCTACTCTGCTCTTGTCTGCTGCGGTGTCCCTTGTACTCTGAAAGATCCACCTTTCAGGTCACCTCTGTGTACCCTGGCTATTCCTCAGAGACTTCTGCAGGACTCAAGTTAAAAAAAATAATAAAAATTTTAAAATTCCCCAGTATTCGCTGTTTCTATTTTGCCAAGTTTAGATGTTTCCTCCTAGGGCACTCAGGTAAAAGGAAAAAGATTCCTTAAAAGAAAAAAATGATCAGAAAAATTGGGTCATATATTAAGTGCTATCTGAGAAACAAGGAAGCTGTCATTTTATATGAAGAATGCTTAATAACTAATCATCTGTCTTTGAATCAGAAAATTGTGGTCATGCTTGATTATGCCTGGAAGAACCCCCAATCTCACTCATGCTCTAGTCTGTTCAGCTCTGACTCTGTACCGACTGACCAATGTGCGCAATCCAACCTTGGTTCTTATTTTTTCTAGGAATCCACCCCCCAAACTAAGGCAGCCTGAGATATGGTCAGCAGAATTCAATGACTTCATTAGCAAGTGAGTAACAACAGAGCCTTTTTTTAAAAAACCAAGAGACACCATCCTGCTAGAACTTGGAAATGTGCCTTTTACAACACTTCTGAATCTCTTCCTTATTTCTTATCTATTGAACAGCCCCAGAGGGTGTCCACTATTGTCTACAAAACCAGCATTTGTACTGTCTTCTGAGTGTTTGGTGAATCCATTATTGCTCAAATAATGATCTTAGGGTCATGTTCATGTGCTTAAAGATAGCTATGCCTCTGAGGTTGCTTCATGGTCCATAAACACATCCTTCCATCTACCTGCTTTTTGCAAGTCACACCCTCCCATCTCCCACCTACTCACCCACTGTTGGTTCAGTCCACTATTTTTAACCCTTTATTTATCTGCATCACTCATTCCCTTCACAGTTGGAATTTTCACTGCAGTCACTGAATCAGATAATTGTTTGATAAAATGCTTATTATTTGAAATTCAGTGGACATTTTAATTTGACAAATATTTAGCACAAGGGCAGTGCCTCTGGGCAATCGACTGGAAGATATGAGTCAACAGTTTCTGAATATCTGCCCCACAAACCTCTTATCACAATTTTATTATGTCCTCACCATAAACAACAATAATATTGATAAATAAGGTAAAGGATGACTCCAAGTTGTAAATGGGAGACAGGGGACATTAAGATTACATGTGTCAGGGCATCTAGGTGGCTCAGTTGGTTAAGTGTCTCTTTGGCTCAGGTCATGATCCCAGGACCCTGGGATCGAGCCCCAGGTTGGGCTCCCTGCTTAGCAGGGAGTCTGCTTCTCTCTCTGCTGTTCCCCCTGCTCATGCTCTCTGTCTCTCAAATAAATAAATAAATTCCCCCCCCCGCCCAAAAAAAAAGATTATGTGTGTCGGACACCACTCAGAAAATGTAGAAAGGGCAAAGAAAGTGGAGGACCCAGTCATACCCATACTAGAGTCATTGGTGTTTCTACGAAGAGTATCTGCTTATTCCCTTATTCCTGTAAAGACAAAAGGCTTAGAGTTAAGGGGTATGAAAACCTGGGGACTGATAGTCAAATTTTGTTCCCCAGTTTTCACATGAGCATCTGTTATTGGGTACGGACCGTGCAGTACAGAAGATTTGATGAAGTGTAGTCAGACCTTACATATCTTCTGGGAGAAATCACTGAGAACTTTGAAGGGCTCCAACAATTTGTAATTGTGCCCCATGTTTGCGGTCCTTCCACAGAGATCCTCAGTGGAACTTGTGGCTTTGACGCACTTCACACGCCCCCCCCACCACCACCGCCGCAGGAAACATTTCCCAACTTCCTCCCAGCAGCTAGTTAGCATTCTTCCCTGTGTGCTCTCGCTGTGTTTTGTTCCTCTTCCATGAGGAACAGCTGTTTGGAAGCCTCTCTTCCCAGACAGGAACTTCAGGGGACTGAATATGCCTTACTTGTCCCTGTAACGTCCTGCATAGTGCCTGGTACATACCAGCTCTTTGATACACTTTTACTTGGAGAAAAGAGTCGCATATGTGACTATACTCAATCCATTGACCAAGAGCTCCAGATGTCAGGAAAGGATGCATTCTGTTAAACTAAATGATCACGAAGAGCACTTAGTCATAATGCTCAGATATCATCATCCTGGTTCCTTAGTGTATTTTACCATCCTTGGGAAATATGTTACTGGTTAAGCCCAGGAAAGTAAATGGCCAAATCATCAACCCAGGAGGAGTGACAGTACAGATTAGAAATGCCACGACCCAAGTCAAGGCATGGCTCCTTCTTCCTCTTTCTTTTTTTTTTTTTCTATGTCACCAAGTGCCAGCCCAGCATTGATCAGTTGTCTCACAAGCCCAGATCCTCTGAATCCCAGGGTGGGAAGGGTACTGGAGGTTGACACAGTCCAAGCCATATCCGTGGCATAAATCCTTCCCAAGCATGTGCACTGAGTGGCCATCCCATCAGGATGTCCTCATCCCTAATCAAGGTGATCCTATCCCATGCAGCCCATTGTAACTTTGAGAAGCCTAACTGTTGAAAAGTTCTTCCATATGCTGCCCTCAAATCTCTTTCTCTCATAATTCCACAGATCGATCCTGGGTTCTTTGTCTCTTGTGACCACTGAAAACTAGTCGAATCTTCAAATATCTTCCAGATATTTGAAGACAGCTGTCATGGCTGATTCAATGTCCTACTTGTTCAACTGTCCCTCCTGTGATGTTGTTTCAAGTGTCCTCACTAACTTTATCCTTTCTCATGCTACAATCTAGACCCCCAAAGATGTGCACCGATGTGGAATTTAAACATCCCCAGCACATTAGTTTAGCAGTTTTATCACGTAGAAAAGAAATAGATCAACCGAGAAGCCTTTAAAAGCATTAGGGGAGGGAAATGGAAAAGTTTGTTTTAATTTTAGATAAGTTTTCAAACTGTAATGACTTCAATCCTTAATTCTTTAGCTGCTGGCTTGTAAAGGGGCCTTCAGGGGAGATTGTGTTTCCTCACCTCTATGCCAGCATGCTTGCACAAGGGGGCCGTGTTTAGTCAGCAGCTGGGAAGGCTACGTGGCCTTGCTCTCAGACGTGTCCTTGTTCACAAACATGCGTTCCGCCATATTGCAGGTTAACATGCTTTGAGACATGCCTCTCAGGATGAACACTGTGAGGAGCGTTGCTCTCTTGTGTTACACTAGTTGTTAGGAGTATGAATAATAACGTCAAAACTTGAACTTATCTAGTAATTACATCTTTCTTTCCTTCTCTCTTGCTCTCTCTCTCTCTCTCTTTTTTTTTTTTTTTTTTGGCCAGTGCAGGTGCTTGACTAAAGATTATGAAAAGCGCCCAACAGTGTCAGATCTTTTACAGCATAAATTCATTACTCAAATCGAGGGCAAAAACGTGATGTTGCAAAAACAGCTCATGGAATTCATCGGCATTCATCAAGGCATGGGAGGCACAGAAAAGGCCAGGTAATCGAATAACATCTTCATTCACAAAGTCCAAACATCACCTAATAACACTGCACAGTTTTATAATGCGATAGTGCTGAAGGTTAAAAAAAAAGAACTCATTTAAATTAGTGCACTGTGGGTTCTGAGATAAGGGGATATTTGCATGAAAAGTGAATTCATGTGGTGAGTTGCATCCCGATATTGGTAACGTTGCTTGCAGCATTTTCTAAACAACTTTATCAGAATAAAGAACGTAAACTTTAGTAGATGATTAGTGTTGGCATACATTTTCTTGTGTTTTCTGATCTTCCATAAAGTTAAGGTATCTTATATTTGGGACTTAAAAAGAGACATAAACCTGAAAAGACTTTCTGGTAAGTATTATTTCTTGGTATCATTTTTTTCTGGTTGAACTCTATTCAGAAATATTTTAAATATCATTACTCCTACTTCCTATTTGGGTTTCTAATAATCTACTATGTATAGTTTATGTAATATTGAATATGCCTTTTACTTATTATAGATAGTATATATGTTTATGTCAGGGAACTAAGAAGATACAGAGAAGTATACAACAAAATGAATCAAGTATATCATTTTAATCTATAACCTTCTAGTATCTTATGAATGGATATATGTTTTTTAAAAATTAGAATACTATTTATATGTGTCCTGGAACCTGCTTTTTTTTCCCCTTGGTAATCCCCATCACCTATTTCACCCATCCCCCATACTGTCTCCCGTCTGACAACCACCAGTTTGTTCTCTGTATTTATGAGACTGTTTGGGGATTTTTGTTTGTTTGTTTTGTTTTTTAGATTCCACATATAAGTGAAATGAGACAATATTTGTCTTTCTCTGTTGGATTGTTTTACTTAGCATATACCCTCTAGGTCCATCCATGTTTTTCAAATGGCAAGATCTCATTCCTTTTATAGTTGAGTAATATTCCATTATATAGTTATACTAAATCTTCTTTACCCGTTCACCTTTCCATAGACAGTAGGGTTGCTTCCATATCTTGACTATTGTAAATGATGGCACAGTGAACACATGGGTGCATATATCTTTTCAAATTAGTTTTTCATTTTATTTGGGTAAATAGCTATTAGTGGAATTACTGGATTGTATGGTATTGCTATTTTAAATTTTTTGAGGAATCTCCATACTGTTTTGCAGAGTAACTACACCAGTTTCCATTCTCACCAACAGTGTGTGAACAGTCCCTTTTTTCCACATCCTCACCAACACATTATTTCTTGTCTTTTTGATACTAGCCATTCTGACGGGTATGAGGTGATATCTCATTGTGGTTTTGATTTGCATTTCCCTGATGGTTAGGGATCTTGAACATCTTTTCATGTCTGTTGGTCATCTGTATATCTTTGGGAAAATGTCTATTCATGTCTTCTTCCATTTTTAATCAGATTATTTGTTAATGTTGGGTTGTAAAAGTTCTTTATATATTTTGGATATTAAATCCCTTATTGGATATATCATTTGCATATATCTTTTCCCATTCAGTAGGTTGCTTTTTCATTTTGTTAGTGGTCTCCTTTGTTGTGCAAAAGGTTTTTATTTTGATGTAGTCCTGACAATTTATTTCTGCTTTTGTTTTCCTTGCCTGAAGAAACATGTCCATAAATAATGTGGCTAAGGCCAATGTCCAGGCCAATGTCCAAACCAATGTCCAAGAGAATACTGCCTGTGTTATCTTTTAGTTTTATGGTTTCAGGTCTCACATTTAGGTCTTTAATCCATCTTGACTTTATTTTTGTGTAAGAAAGTAGTCCAGTTTCATTTTTTTACACGTAGCTGCCCAAGTTTCCCAATACCATCGAAGAAACTGTCTTTATCCCATTGTATATTCTTGCCTCCTTTTTCATAGATTAATTGACCAGAGTAGGTTTATTTCTGGGCTCTCTATCCTCTTCCATTGATCTATGTGTTGGAGCCTGCTTTTTTCCACTGAAGAGTGAATAGCCATGTCATTAAATCCATGTCATTCATATTATTCTATGACAGATTTTTTAAATACTGCCAGCATTACCTTGTATGACTTTTTAATGATTGATTTAAATAATCCCCTATTATTAGATATTTAGATTGTTACTAATTGTTTCTATCTCTGATAAGTAACTTTGTAATGAACAGAGTTGCACATGAATCCCTTATTATTCTTTTCTTAAGATAAGTTCCTAGACACAGTGCTAAGTCAAAGGGTAGCCTTTTGTAGTTTCAGTTTATTCTTGAGAATTCTATTAGTTTCATTTAAGGAGCATATCATTATTTAAGGGCTAAGTGAGGAGAAGTAAGTGGAAAATGGTGCATGGGGGCGCCTGGGTGGCTCAGTGGGTTAAGCCTCTGCTTTTGGCTCGGGTCATGATCCTAGGGTTCTGGGATCAAGCCCCACATCAGGCTCTCTGCTCAGCAGGGAGCCTGCTTCCTCCTCTCTCTCTGCCTGCCTCTCTGCCTACTTGTGATCTCTGTCTGTCAAATAAATAAATAAAGTCTTTAAAAAAAAAAAAAAGAAAATGGTGCATGACTTAAAAGGTGATTCTATTTGAGTTCCTGTCAGGGGTCACATGTTTCATTCCTATTTGTTTAATGCCTAACTGTGTGCCAGACATTGTTAGGACTTTATATTATCTCATGTGATTTTGTAACATCCCTGATATAGGACACTCCATTTTCACAGCTGAGAAGAACCAAAGTTTACAGAGGCTAATTAACTTCTACAAGGCAACATAGGCAATGAATGACCTAGCAGGAATTCAGATCCTGGTACCTAAACCCAGGCTTTATTCACATGAGTAAACAGAGTAATGATAGTAGACATCTCTGGAGGTTAGGCCTTGCCTATATGAGTTTACAGCCTTGCTAGAGAAACAGAACTCATATACCTGTAGTGAGGAAACATTACATTGTGAGTGGAATGAATTACAGAGAAGAAGGAAGGAGGCATGTAGTTTACAGTGAGGAGATGGCCCTGGGCTCACACATGTCCTTCCTTCCTTCTTTTTGTGACTGTAGTTCACAAAATGTGACTGTAGTCAGCCACAATCCCACACTTCCCAGAGCAAGTGGACAAACAACAAGCAAACAAACAAAATGAACAGAAATTGAAGTGTACCAGCATCATGCTGGGTACTCAAGAACTATGGAAAATTTGAGATTTTACCTTACTTGCAAGCTAATAAGTTGACCTGCCAGTTACAAGCATATTGGCAGAAGATATGACACTCCAGGATCAGAGACAAAGGACCTTACTATTCTTGTTAAGCCAGGAACATAAGTTTTATATTCATGATGGTTATTCTTGTCCCACAAATCCTAGTGCTGATCTGGAATGACCTAAATAGATTGGTGTATACAGTGGGTTTGCCAGATAGTGTAGGGACCCTGACCTTGGGAAACTCTAATCTTTGAAAAGGGAAGGGCTAGTGAACCTGCCCAAACTTTGTCCTGGAGCAGACATTATCTTTACTATTTTGTTAAGCAAACAACTTCCATCTGTCATGGAGAGAGACACTATCTCTAATTTCCACCATTTGCTATACAAGCATTCTTGGAAATACAGTCTGGAAACAAAGCTAATATAAGACATGCAGAAACGGGAGAGACCCATGGATAATTGTCTCCCAGCATTCAAACATTGTAAGAATGGTTGAATTAAACAATATTTAGATTCTAAGTCTGTTGCTCTAAGTTCCAGAGATAAAAACAAAGAAAAAAATTATTGAAAACAACTCTACATTGGGCACCACATTAGATTCAACCCTTGTGTTTGAGTCACAAAATTGATTCTTGTTTATCTTGTTAAGAATTCAGAATATGTCTTCAATGTGAGAACTTCTGTTTCACTAAAAATTGTGGAAAATTTTCAGTCATTATTCCGTTAAATGTTGATCTTCTCTTATTCTTTTTATTTTCTAAGAGATAAATAATGCAATGTCCCAATATACCTTATGTGTCTTATGCTTTCTCCTTTATGTTTGTCTTTTCTTTATCAATCCTCTGCTGTATTTTGGATGATTTCTTCAAAATTGTTTCTCAATTCACTAATCCTTAGAATAGGACTAGTCTAGAGTTACCCTGTAAACTTTTTTTTCAGGCTGATATTTCTGTCAACAGCTGTATTTTTCATTTCTACAGTTTCTTACTTTTTGTAAACGTTCCTTATTCATTTCTGTCTTTATATCTGGCTGTTCATATCTGGCTAATTTATTTTGTGTGTGTGTGAATGTAATTCTTTTCTTTTTCTCTATAGACTCTTTAACAGTCATTTTTTGATTTATATTCCAACCAGGGTGAATTGTCCTGATTATTGAGTTTATTTTCTTCCTTAATATTTGGTGTCCTTCTGGGGTTTAGAATTTTGATTTGCTCTCCTGCCTGGAACCCGGGGCGGGGGGCGGTTTGCTCTGCTTTTTCTTTTCTTCTGCATTCTTTTCTCCTATTTTGAAAGTTTTGCCTTAGCCGTAATATGGCCTCAGGAGTCTTTCTGCTCAGTAACACTTTGAGGATATTGCAGATCTGGTCATGGAAACAGTAGGAAGTAGACCCAGTGTATGCTTGGTCTTGCCATCACAGGTACTTGGGTCCAAAAAAGAAAGAAGATGCAGAATTTTTTCAGTGTTCTCTTTCAGGTAAGAGACAACCCTTCCCACATTCAGCTCCCAGCCTAGCTCAGGGCCTTCACTGTGAGTGGGGTGTTTCATTGCCTTTACTGTCCTGGCCTTTTCTGCCTTTTTCTAGTCCTGGACTTTGTGTCAGCCTGTGGTTTCTGCCCTCCTTTCCAGGGTGTATCTGACTTTTTAGGTCCACTGTCATGCTCATCTTGTTTTGGAGAAGGTCTTTGTCGTTTTAATTCAACCTAAAAAATATTTTAAAAAATATTTTATCTTTCACAAGTGTATATTTGGAGGGGGTGAGAGTAGAGTTTGGATCACTAATGTACAACACACTTTTGGCCACAGAACTTAGTCTGAGGTCGTAGGAGGAGGAAGTATTTTCCT